AGGTTGTATACATGCCATAGCATATATGTGCAAGTCAAACTTGTGAGAATTGGTTCTCATCTTTAACCTTGTGTGTTTCAGCATCAAACTTTAGTTTTCAGGGTTGGTAGCAAGTATCCTTAGCCACTGAACCATCTCACCAGGTCACCAAAGCAATTTGACTGTGTGTATCAAATTCCACCTTCAATTGACACAGAATGGTGAAATGAAAATGATATATAATAGCACTTTATACCAATACCTCACATAACAATTGGGACATACTCAATCACTTATCAGTAAGTTGACTGATTTTAAAACAGAAAATGGAAGGAAACATAGTCATATATACAAAGTTATAAATAGAATATGTTCTTCTTGTATTTTTTATCAACCAAGGAAGACCTGTGAATTATGGAAAACTGTGTGTGAACACTTCAAAGGAAATTTGCCAGATATATATATATATATATATATATATATATATATATATATATAGTGTGTGTGTGTGTGTGTGTGTGTGTGTGTGTGTGTGTGTTTGAAAGGTTTAGTGGACCCTTTATATCTCTAAACAAAGCTGATAGTTTGCCTAATCATGTATCACTAAAACCAATTAAAATTTTAGTCTAGAGATGTGTTCTTCAAACACTTCAGAAAAAAAAAAATAAGAGTTCCTTCTTAAAGCCAACACCTTTTAATTAACAAAGTACTCAGAGTAAAGCTATGGTTTACAATAGGATATTATACCTACTGTTATTTTTGTTGTGACAAAGTCAGTTCATTTTAGCTGCTTTAAACTTGTCATTGTGTTTAACTATGATGGAAAATTCAGTTTTTGGTAGAATCATTTTCATTTTCTAATGCAAGGCGTAAGTATGGTAGAATCATTAATAGTCGGGCTATTTAAGTGCATAATCTTTTGCATATCCATACCCTCCTCTGTATATAGAATGTTTATATCTCTGTAAGTTGATAAGATACATTGTAATATCTGTTTGGGGGGTAATGTGATAAAACAGGAAAGATTGCAACATATCCTTCTAGAGCAGGGGTTCTCGACCTTCCTAAGGCTGCCATCCTTTAATACATTTCCTCGCGTTATGGTGTCCCCCCAACTGTAAAATTATTTTGTTGCTACTACATAATTGTAATTTTGATAATGTTATGAATAGCAAGGTAAATATCTGTGTTTTCTGGTAGTTTTAGGCAGCCCCTGTGGAAAGATTGCTTAACTGCCAAATAGGTCATGACCTATAGTTTGAGAATCACTAGTTTAGGTTACTAAACGGTGCATAGAAAAGTTGTTCCATACCTGCTGGGGAGAACTCATGCTCCTTAGGAAGAACAATGATCATCCAGAATATACTATTAGGGTTTTTGTGTGTTAATTAATGTATTCTAATTCCTTATCTAATTGCCATTACATATTCAAGTACTCTTAAGGAATTCTCTATCATTTACAGTGTGGGCACAACAAAAATCACCCTTATAATGACACATACCTATGCATAGACAAAGTTACAAACAGAATAACTTGATTCAGAAACAGGTTTATATTGAAAAGAAATTTAATTAAGTTACTATGTCATAGAGGCATGTGCTGTCCTATGTTCAGTACATTACTAGCAACAATAGCCAAAAAAAATGGAATCAGCCTGTTGTCAATTGAGGCAAATTGATAAAAAAAATATTGTACTTGTATACAAGAATATGTTATTAATACCTAAAAATGAATAATGTGCTGTCATTTTCTTTTTAAATGTTTTTATTTTGAATATTTCACACAATATATTTTAATCATATTATTACTCTCCTACAACTCCTCCCAGGTCCTCCATCTCTCGCTAATCAAACAACTTTTTGTTATTACTCTCTTTTTAAAAATACAAAAAAGTACACAAAAGGACATGGAGTCTATTTTGTGTTATCCAACTACTCCTGAGCATATGGCTTGCCATGAAATATGGCTTATGTGTCTAGTGGCACTCCATTTAAGAAAACTGATTTTCTTCCAGCAGGTGTCAGCTGCAAATAGCTTCTTAGTTCAGGGTGGCACTTTGTCCCCTCTTCCCTGGCCCTGGGCTGGGATTTCTGTCTGCTTTGAGCGTTTGCAAGTGTTAAGAATGCTATCACAGTCTGTGTGACTTCATATGTGTATCTCCCCCATGGTGTTTGGAAAACACTGTTTCCTTGGAGTCACCCACCATCTCTGTCTCCACATAGATCCTTGACCCTTGAAGCAGAGGTGGGATTAAAAACATTCCATTTGTGGATGAGTGCTCCAAAATGCCTTAATTATTTTCTACAAATTGTCCAATGGGTCTCTGTCTTAATTACCATCTATGGAAAGAGGAAGCTTTTCTGATGAGGAAGGAACTTATTCATTGCTAGTTGGATTGCAAACTGGTACAGCCACTGTAGAAATCAGTGTAGAGTTTTCTTTCTCCAAAAACTATAAGTTGTTCTACCCCAATATCCAGCTATACTTCTCTTGGGCATATGCCAAAAGGACACCACATCTTAGTACAGAAATACTTGCTCATCTGTGTTTATAATGGCCAGGAATTGGAAACAGCCTAGATACCCATCAACAAATGAATGGTTAATGAAAATGTAGTACATTTATATGATAGAGTGTTATTCAGCTGTTAAAGAAAAGTGAAATTTGTTGGTAAATGGATGGAAGTAGAAACAATCATCCTGAGTGAAGTAACCCACACCCGGAAAGACTAACATTTCATGTGGATGTTAACATTAAGGTTTAGAAGTATGTGTTTCATTTAGTATAGCCACAAAGTGCTGTCATTGCCCACAACCTAGATGAGCCTGAAGGACATTATACTAAGTAAAATAAGCCATATGCAGACAATATTGAATGATAAGATTTATATGTGTGATCTTTATAAAGTTAAATACATGAATATAGAGAACAACACAAAACAGAGGAATAGGAGTGAGAAAAATGTGCCAGGTAGCTCAAATGATACAAAGTAGCAGGGTTATATTCCAATTGGAATCCTGACTATACAACATGAAATCTATAAATAATCCACCTGTGACATTTCTTCTTGCACATAGGTTTGTTTAAATAAGAAAATATTAAGTGCTATACAGTGTCTGTGATCCTGAAGTGCTGCTCTGTGCCTTATTGAGACTTTTTTGGTACATGCTTATCCTGAGACTCCCACACAAAAGACATTTAGCTGTGATAATTGAAGAGGATATGAGATTTTATGTGGAAACGAGTGGGAAAAGTTTAAAGGAAGCACAGGACATGTGGAAGGACATTAAAGTGTCTAATGACCTGTGTCAATTGGATGATGCAGAATCAAGTGTGGGAAGCAAGAGGCAGAATGGAGGAGGGATCTGAGGCTGGCATGTCAAGTTGGGTTCAGAATGTAGATTCTAGAACACAGTGCTACTGTAGAATCAGTAAACACTTGGCAATGGAACAAATGAATGTGGACCACTTGTGAAAGTAGGTTTTTTTCCTTCCACCATGTGGGCCCCAGGGATCAAACTCAGGTCATACAGCTCAGTGAGAAGTGTTTCTATTCATCAAGACATCTCACTGACTTTAATTTAAGTTAGAAAAAACCTGTGTTCAGGAATCACTATAACAAAAAACATTTGAAGTCTAGATTACTGGAGTTAAACACTTTTTCTGTCATGTTTTAGCTGTGTAACCTTAGGTGAATTATTTAAATCCTCTTGAGTTTCAGTTAAACTGTATGACTGTGACAGAGCATCTCTCTCATGGAGAGTTGGTCTGACCATTTGTTCAAACACATTAGATTATTATTCTAGGCATGATTATATATATATATATATAATAAATCAAATTCTATTATTTTAATAGTAGGTATGGCACATGGGAATTTTTCTCTGCACTTTGCTGTAGCAGATTAAAAAATCATGTAACATACATATACACAAATTAAAACACAGTAATTTTTTTAAAGAAAATAGTTAAAATAATCTAAATAGCAAGAAAACTTAGACATACTCTACATTTTGACTTTCCAGAAACTATAATTTACAGTTTATTGTTGAATTTAGGATTCATTGTAGGGGAGACTGGGGGGAGTGGGAGGAGGAATGAGAGAGGGAACCTGTATTCGGTATGTAAAATGAATTAAAAAATTTAAATAAAAAAATCATGAAGTCACAATGGTTATGACTGTATGTACAAGACTTGCATAAGTTTCAATTCTGACATCTCCAACACTTTTCATTCTGCTTTACTCTTTTATCTGTGGGAAGTGTTGGGTGTCGCTGAGACATTGGAAAGAGAGGAAGCATTCTTCCTTCTCTCTTATCTTCTTAATCTGAGACCACCTAAAAAGTATGAGTAATAATGCAGCCACTGAAATGAGCGTATTGTCACTCATAGTATAAATGTGCACATCTTATTTTTTTTATGTTCTTTGAATAGCTCCCTTGTCCACACCTATGAGATCTTCTGCCAAGATGTCATTTCCATCTTTTTCTGAATGCCTCCCTTCTGAACCACATTGTCCACTATTTCATTGCTGCTGCCTTCCCAGTTATAACACTGTTGTCACCTTGTCTATAAAACAGATCAACCATTGATTCCTTTGTCACTGTATGATACAGAGAGTTTCTTCCTAGTGAGTACTTTTATTATTTAAGGAAATCTGAAGTCAGAAATATGACCTTATACAATCTTTAGTTTTTCCTTTTCTTCCTTGAATGGGCAATAAATAGATAAATCTTACCTGGAAATGTCCTAATAGCTCTGTTTATAAACTTCACAGTCTATATGATTCTTACTGAAAAAATATTTAAATTGGTAAGGCAAGAAAATAAGATAAAATATGTTAAAGATTATTAAGCATGTTTGAATATTATATGATCTATGCCCTATAAGTATTCACATTTTTAGATACATTGCGAGAAATCTTGACTCAAACTGTTGGCTATCAACTAATGTTCCTTTATTGTTACTGAAGTTGACTCTTTTGCTGATGTTTCTCATATCTCTTCTTTTCTTCCACTAGCTGCTAGTCAGACTGTTACTCTAGTGACACCGCCTGTGGTTACCAAGGAAACTGCCGTCTCCAAACCAGAAATGCCATCTTCTTTGCTGTTGGAGGTACCTGCTCTGGCAGATTTCAACCGAGCTTGGACAGAACTTACAGACTGGCTTTCTCTGCTTGATCGAGTTATAAAATCACAGAGGGTGATGGTGGGTGATCTGGAAGACATCAATGAGATGATCATCAAACAGAAGGTATGGATAAAAAAGTAAATAGGAAATCTGTCACATTTTCACTTGCCATTTCCAGCTTCTTTATGACTTACCACCAGTTTTTAGGCTACAATTTTTTCCTGTTAACAAGCACACTACTCAGTATACACTGAACAACCTAAATATGACCAAAGATATGAATGAATTTTCCAAAGTAACCATAATTTAAAAGGGGCAGAATGAGGGCAAAACACATAAATCTTACAAGTATAGGTGGCTCAGTTAAATTCAATGAACAACTTTTTTTTTTAATGTCTTTAATACAAAATAATTAGCTCAATTGAGCTGATTACATTTAAACTGTTTGTTTTGGCACTATGCAGCCATAACATATTACAAAGATGAAGATAATAATCTGGGACTTGTTTATTATTCACTCCTCTGAATTGTCTGTGCTAGGATTCTACCTCAAGTGATAAGGATAATTGAGAATTAGAAATAAATAAGACAAATAACAAAATACAACATATTTTAAATATCATGGATCTCAATATTAGGCTCTATGTCTCATCATATTAAAATAAACAAATTGTAATAATTCAACATCTCATTTCTCACCCTCATTGAAATCCTTTTGGTGAAATTATCCAATCATTTAGAAACTAAAGAATGCATTGCTATAAACGTGGTTTACCTGTATGCTAAACTAGGCTGTATGGTTTTTTCTTTCTCCATGGGTGAGAAATACAATTTTGAAAGCTTTATACATGATAGTCATTTCACTTGTAAAAACATTGAAGAATTTCTAAAGAAACAATAAATTGTACTGAATGTGTTTGGATGTTAGAGAATTTTCTTTCTTTCTTATGTCAAGTCAGAGCTAGGAGAACTTCAGCAATTCCATAGTAATAAAATGAATTTGATGATTAACAAACAAGTAACATTTAAACTACCTTGAAGCTGATGTGGTTAGTGATCGCAAGAAGATTTTTAGTTCAAAGCCAGCCTCTATTTTATAGAAGACTGTGTCTACATCAAAACAAAACAATTTTTCAAAAGTACCTTTTACACTTAAGAACCAAATTTAGTGGACTTTTGTAGTTAATTACAGATGACATGACCATGGTCAAGTCATTCTCCTAATCTTTTTTAATTCAAAGCACATAAAAGAACTGTTCATTCACATTTACCATATAGTTATGGATATTTGTATATTAATATATTTAAGTATTATACATTTTTATTTTTCTACACATTTTCTAACATGTTTGTAGCCACATTTATTTTTTCAGGAAAAGCAGCAGATGCTCATAGATGTCCCATACACCTAGTAGATAACACAAGAAATATTCTGATCCCCATCTGAATCTTCAGCCTGAATTCCTCCTTGATATGTGTATTATCTGTAGTAACAACTGTAACTGGAGTCAGCATTTAGTGGTGTATATGTATTTGCATACATAATCTAAAACAGGCACTTTGCTGATCATTTTATATTTGCACTTGGATGATACAGAAAAAGAATTATAGCAATACTTATATCATTATATCAGTATTTCAAGGAATATCATTTACTGGAAACAATATATTATAATGCTTAAAATTCAGGATTTGGATTTTGGCTTAAGTCTCAAAGCTGTAAAATCTGGAGTGAGTTACTCCACCTCCCGAAACTTCAGATTATCCGTCGCTAGGATATAGATATAACTATGAGCTATATCAGTTTCAAAGAGAATTGTATTGTGTAGTCCATGAAAAAAGTTTCCTTCCTTGCATTGCTTACTGTGAATACTCAACTGATGTTAGTAATTAATACTAGGTTCCATGGCAAAATCTAGAAAAATTCATATTTGTATTATTTTAACCATGTTATTGACACTATAGCTTCATATAAAAGTTTGTTGCTTTATGATCATGAGCAAAAGAGAATTTAATCATTTGTGATGAGTTTGTGGACCCAACTTTTAGAGAAGGCATTGATTGGCATTCAGAATAGTATTCAGTATTCTCCAAAAGAATTAGTCTCTTACAGAAGGATCTCTTAACCCAGGACTCTTCATATATATATATATATGTATATATATATATATACATATATATATATATATATAAAATTTTATAGTTATATAGTTATAGTTCCAAAGTTAATTTAGAAAAACTCTCACAGAAATAAACTGGGGAGCAGAGAGGAAGACTCCCAGTGTTACCCTTCTCTTGATAAAAAGTAAGGATGTTTTCCTTGCTTATTTCTTTTGTATTAAAAGTAATTCATAAAAATATGTCTAACGTTTACCTTTAGATTTAGTTCTTTTAGTGGATAAAAGAGCTCTAAATAGTGTATATGTATACATCTACCCATGTACCTACATGGGTTTTCTACTCCCCTGAGTTTATTTGTGTGATAATCTCAGGACTATACTCCAGTGAAAATTGAAACCATGGAAGAGAACACAATTAGGAATAACTTCTTAAAGAAGTTAAGCAAAACACTAAAGAAGAGGATAGAAGTAATCATTTAGTGGAAATGGGAATAGTACAAACAGAAGGAATGAAATATTCTTTACACAGAAATGGGTGAAGGCAACTTTTTGCCAAAGTTATGATTTGAATTTAATGAAGTTAAGGTTATGATGAAAAAATGACAAGGCTGAACAGACAAGAGGAAGGTAAAGCAATGGGCTTCCCATGCCAAACAGACTTCTTTTGGGGCCTTGGCATGTGATGACCATCCTTAAATGATTTTTAACAGGAAAGTGTTATCTGGAAAGATAATTTGGTTAGTTGTCTGTCAGGCTTCTTTGGGTGCAAGCAACAGAAATCATTATTTTATTAAATAAAACAATGTAAATGTAAGCATTAGCTTAAAGGCAGGGGAACAAGAAAAAGGAAACAATCTAAACCTTCCTGGACACATGGCTACCAGGAACAACTTAAGTCTCTTTATAATACATTATTTTCTTCATTCTTTGTGACTCAGCAACCTCAATTGAGTTACTTGGGCCACACCAGTCACCTAACCAGAGAAAAGCACAGAAACTTCAAAGTCCAAATCCCTCAGACTTAGCTAGAGGTGATTTTTTTTTTCAAGGAAATTGGAATATATTGACAATAGATAAGACAAAGCTATTCAGCAACCAATAAATAATCAATTTCCACTGACCTGATATAAGAATATGTAGAGCAGAGTAGAGAACAGAGCAAATATGGTTTATGGAGAGATTATTCTCATTACATAGCAAATGGTTAACTACCTCAACTGTTATATTATCCAGACCCCAAATAACTTATATGCCATTAACCCACCTACAAATTTGGTGGACAATTTAATTTAGTGATTTCATTTCTGATTGGTGGATAATATGAATGAAATGTGGTGAGGAGGTTCCATTTTCAATATATTGCAATTTGGAGGTATGTTGTGATTTGTAACTGCAAGGCATCAGAAGCTAGGTACAGTGATGTAAAAAGCTATATTATGGCCCAAGGAGAAGTTAGGATTGAATTTATAAGATTCAGATAATAGCTTAATCATTCAATAAAGTCATGTATTACCCTCAAAAATGCTATAAGGCTATAGCATTTGAATGAGCTAGCTTTTAGTAGCTTTAGACTTTAAACATTAAAATTATATATCTCATACAAAGCTTTTGTTCTCCTTATCATGAGGTTTTAAATTAAATTCTTATCTTTAGAAATGAGGGGCAGCTAGAGTTTTGAAATACAAATAATTTTACTAAGTGAATTATGTTAAGCAAATGAAGATGAAAGTTAAAATTACAACTTTATTAAAAATGAGTATGTGGCAATTTGAAAAATTAACCAACTCTACTGATAAAATTCAGACTAGGAAATAGACTGTTATCGTTCGGAGAGAGATTCATTATATACAAAGTAAGCCTTTAAAAGTGGAATTTGAGCAAAGCTCAAACTTCCTAAAAGTTCAAAATAATAACTTATATGGGCTTTAATATGTATTTTAGTATCATAAAAAATCTGATTGAGAAACACTACTCCCTTTTTAACACATGTTCAAGTACAATTGCTTGCAAGCAAAACTCTTCAAACAATAAGTAGTAATATTCTCTTTATAAAACTGTTACTTTCTAACTCTGGCCATATCTGTACAGAAACCATTAAATGAGTGGCTCCATAATCATTTTGATAATTCCTGTTAAATACATTTACCCAAAATTTGATGACAAAAGTTTCTCCAGAGCTTATAGAAGTATCATTGGGATAAGGTATGGAGATTAAAATAACATTGGTTGTTTAAATTAAAATTTAAAAAACAACTGAATGGTGTTTCTTCTTTTGTTCTAATTTTTTGCCAAGATCCTGGCAGAAAAATCTGTGATGCACTTGCTTCCACTACTGAACAATAGAAAAGGGTGATGGACAGTTTAGTGAATTGGTCTAAAGTCATTTAGTTAATGCAATTGTCCTAACATGAATCTAGACTTTTCATAAGTACACAGTGCTTAATCCCTGACTCCTTTGTTTATATATTTTCTTTTTTTCTGTAAGAAAAATAACAACACAATGAATTAAACTCAGTTTATTCCTCTGGGCATCTGAGACATTTCATATGCTGCAAGACAGCAATCTTAGGCAAGGATATTGATTATTCGGGTAATTGTGTTCCTTTTAATAAAACTATCCATCCTTTATCATCTAAGTTCTTTTCTGTGCAACTTTATGAAACAGCATAACAAAGTATGCTTTTATACACAGAGTTATATTTTGTATTCTGCAAAAAATAATGTCATTACTCATTTGGTAAAAGAGATTTGCAAATTTTGTGCTTCAATTATCTTCCAACAAATGAACATGTTTCCAGTAGACAGCTTGTTACCCATGGATCACTGCTTTGTAATCTTTCCTTAGCTAGTGGGAGCCAAATTCACTATTATCTTGCATATCAGTAATACAATGATGACAAAATTAAAGTCCCTTTAAGTAAAAAAAAATCATGAGTTCGAAATACACAGGAAAATATAATTCTTATAACTTTTATTATAAGCTTTATGTGGAAAATGATACCA